CCTATAAATTTGTTTAAAAAACATACACGCAAAATAACAAAACCATAAAACAATATGAGTTTAAAAAAAAAAAAAAAGTTGCCATCAATTCTTGCTGTCTAAAAAAAGAGAGGGAGGAACAAGAGAACATCAGAAATATTATAAAATATATTAGCAAGCAACGGAGCGGCTATGGTACATTTACTAGATCGTGACAAAGAGAGCCGGCCAGCCGTCTCAATTTCCCACAATACCCCGGAGCGACGTCAACTGTTCTGGAGTGTAACTGAAATTCAAATCCCCATCATAATCGAAGTTCAAATTTCATCAAGAGAGGTTCCATTTTGCCAAGGCCATCAGCAAATGAGTTAGGTTCTGGAAGATGTTGCTTTCAGTTTCTCTTTCCAGTTTTTAAAAAGAAAGAAACTTGGTAATTACTTAATCTGCAGACAGTATCTCTGGGACTAAGTTCTCATCGACCAAGAGTCACTACAACACGTCAGCAAGAAATGTGAGCTGCGAAGCAGGAAGATCCAGCTTTTAAATTCCATGTCCACCAACAAATTTCTTCCTACCATACCCTCTCCATCCATCACCTGGCAAGTTCCTAGGTTTACCTTTAAAATAAATTTCCCGGTGGAAGTGGAGCAAAATTTCAGTGAAGTTCGCGCTGGATTCTTATTTCTGAGCAGAGGATGTGGCCAGCTAAGTCTTACCACCATTTTAATTTCCCACAATGCCTCACACTGACACCAGGTTAGGGGCATTAAGGGAAGTGAAAGGTGGTGGTGTCTGATGAGGTCAAGAGGGAAAAAAATGAAGGGGTGGGGAGGAAAAGCAGGACACATATTTGAAGGTACCAAGAGCCCACGGCAGTCCTGGGTTCAGGGCAATCCAGGCTTCAGCCTACCTCTAGTCCAAAGCAGTAGAGATGGCACCCAAAGCACCTCTCTGGGAACAAAATGGACCATTATGGGCTTTCTGAACAGTGAAGACTTCTAAGCACTTCACAAAAATATAATAGTAAGGTTATTTTCTCCTATAGGGAGAAGCTTTTTCAAGTCCAACGTTTGATCACTGAAAGAAAAGTGGGGCGGGGGGGGGAAGGACAAGAGATTGTCTGGATTGTGCTTCATGCTAAACCATGATGCAGCTGACCTTGGAAGTGTGTCCCAGAAAACCGTATTTTATTTAATCAGCTGCAGTGAAACCATAGTTTAGTACACTTGACGAGCCAAGACATAATAGATGGGAATGATCCTTTCCAATCTGACGGTGGCACACAGCCATCCTAGCCTTTCTGCCGTACGCTTGCAACTGGCTCCCAGCCACCAGCGGCTAGTGAAGAAGATTCCCTGGCTAGCAAGGAGGAAAACTGTAGAAAAACCCCAGCCTCTCTTTTTGATGATCCATTTCTGTGGCTCATAATTTTGGCAGATGTATTCGCAAGGCAGGGCCATATTATTCAGAAAGTCTAGGGATGGGAAAAACTCCTTTGGAGAGGTGTGTAGAAACTGGTATCAGATTTGGAGGGTGGGCGGAGACTCCGCATCTCAGGTGGACCCAGTTCTTCACCAACTTGTCCCTCCTTGTTTTTCTCTGTGTCATGCAGGCCCCCTCCTCTTGGTTACTGTTTTGAGTTGAAATGAGCCCATTACCACCAGAAGGAAAGCAGACACTGGAGGAGAAAGCTATTGGTAAGAAGGGTGGAAATGAAGGCTACGGCGGTTGAGTTTTTCTGGGTTGTTGGATGCCATGTGAGAAAAGTCTCGGAAGATGTCAAGGTAAGTGGCATCTCCTGCGGGAGAAAGAAAAACACAACACTTGCATTGATCACACCCGTTTAAGGAGAAGGTGGGATTTCTTGCCCTTTTGTTTTCCTCCTAGAAAATACCTAACCTCAGTTAAGATCAGTTTCTTGGGAGAAGATGGGTAGAATGCCTGAGAGTGCTGACCATGTTCACACATTCCATTAAGCCACGGTTTAGTACAGAAACCACGTTGACTGGGTTCGTGCAACATGCTAAGCTGTAAACAGTGGCTTGTAAATCCCTCTGGCTGAGTTTGCATGACATGGTACCTAGGACTAACGATCAGTGGTATTAATTTTCTGGATTGGCCTGTCACACAAGCTGCACGGGTTACATTTCTGCCAAAAAAAAAAAAGGGCTCTTGCATGGCACACTAGTTTCTGTTTCAGGGTGTCAACAGAACCCAATCATTTTGGGTGGAAAAGGTGGAAGTTACAGGCAGCAGAAAAGCATGTTTTGCTCGATAATAACATGCGCATGCAAATTATCCTGAAGGCAAGACCAAAACTCATGTACTGTAGAAACACACAGAGCCTGAAGTCACTTCCTGAAGCAGCTGTCCAGGGAAGTTCTCCAGGGATCCCAACATCTCTTCTTGGCTCCCATTTCCTCCTGAATTTTGACCAAAAGGGAATTTCAAGCATTAATTCCCAAACTGAGGGATGCCTGTATCTCCCACAGCATTCTGTTGCAGTTTTTTCCACTTTGAAATCTCCCAGTTAAGGTTTTTATCAGTGATTCATGTGTCCAGAGTGTTCAAACACTGCAAAAGGGAAAGCAAACTTTGATACAGGTATATTTGTGTGTATAAGTTCTTTTGGGCCATCTGTTACTCATGTGTTACTCTTTAACATGTTAGCAAAATGTTTCATACAAAACAGCTTGTTACAATTGTCCAGATGATTAACAGCCAGAATTTTCTATAAAATTTGGAAATGGAAAGCGAGCAGCAATCGTAAGAAACTGCTTTCAGGTTGGAAACAAGATCAAATGATTTGGAAGTGCCAAATCTCAGAATTTTTGAAAAACTGGAAAGCATTAAAAATGTCAGCTGTCAGGATCTCTGGTTGCATCGTGAACTTAGCTAGACTCTGCTTCCAAAGAGGTATTAACTCTTCCTCTTTCTTTATATCCGGATCAGTTTCAGTTAATTTTCTAAAAGGACAAGCCAGTGGTTTACACATCACAACCTGTTCTGTGAGTATAGTTTGGAGCAGAAATTCCAATGGTTGGAAATTGCCAGATTTGAGCAGGCCTGCAATGACCCATTTGGGGTATGAGGAAGCGAGAGAGAAGCACATGGAATAGACTGATGTGTTTGAAAGTTTTTAAGAGGCGAAGAGCAGCTAGAACCATGAAGGAAATAGCCCGTGCCCTTTGTAGTTTATGCATCAAGGAAATTAGATTGGAAGAGAAATAGATAATTAAGAGAAGAGATCCTTATACTAAATGTTAGAAACAGGCAGGGTGCAGAGAAAGCTAAATTTATCTCCTTTCTTTTATCTCCACCCAATGATCAGCAGGAAGCTTTGCATAGTTGAAAATCCTCATCCTCATCCTTACAATCCTCATCCTTAATCCTGGCTCTAGGAATCACCGCCAATTCTTTCCACTTAATCTTTACGCCACAAGAGCCACTCGTTCTGTTATTTTCAAGTAACCATAGTGTGAGCTTAGGTTTGCACCTAAGTTGAAGGGGTTATGCGGTGTCTTGGCGCATGATTCCGTTTGCTGCTAATCAAGTAGGCAGAGACCCTTTCCACATTCTCCCCAGGAAGTTGTCCTGAAGTTATTTCCATCTGGGTAATGCTGCTTCCTAGGCTGAGTGAAAGCAGGCAGGGCAAGTCCGTATTCCTAGCCTTAGCATTTGTAAGGGCCATGCATTAAACTGGGATATTTGTCGCAGCTGCCAACGGAGCAGGGGGACATTCTTGTTTGGTCGCTTGTTTGGTTGAAAACATTTCCTCGAGAGGCACGCACAGGCTTTGTTAAGGGGCTTCTGACGGCTGGTTCCTGCTAGCTGCCGGAGTCTTTGGAGAAACCTAAAGCGAAAACATTTCTGCTTGGAACACAGGTAGCAGCTGAGCAGAAGAGCGTTTGCAGCAGGCTCACTTTTGGAAGCAAAAACATCTGCACCTCGTTGCCTCTACCTCTCCCACAGCTCCTAAATCTGCCACGGCTCTCAGCTGCAGTCCTTACGCCATATTAGGGGACCATTTCTCTCTCCCAAGCCATCCTTTTGATCTTCCTAGAGAGAAAACAGCAATCAAAAATCTTTTGTTCGCCTGGATGATAACCAGCTGTTCCAACTCTCTGCTTGAGTTTTGACTCCCATCTCCCAGCTCATCCTAGCTCTGAGCTTTCAGTTCGACACTGGTTTAGCCTCATCCTGATTGCTATCTGCAGCTTGCTTGCAAATGAGTGTTTCTGCCTCAATTGTCTTACCCCTCGGGAAGCCAAGAGCCCAAGCCGGCATGACAAAAAGGCAGAAGAGACTAAACCGGTATTCCCCCCTACACACACTTTTTTTTCTCTCCACACTTTGAAGTTGTGCCCCCATCGTGCCCACACAGCCGATCCCCCAGAGTATAAGGCTGGTATGTACTTCTCAGATGGCAGGAGGCACGTTTTAGCCAACAGTCCAACCTTTTGACCTAGCGTCCCTTTTGGAAAGCAGCCATAACTACCTGTGGGGGAACTGAGCCAGGCGAGACACGCTGTTGGTCACGCAGCAGTCCTGCAAGGTGCCACCATGCTTGCTTTCGGAAGATAACAGCTCCAGAAGATTTAAGAACATTTCCCGAGAACGTCATCTGAAACTCCACCTAGTTTTGGAATGTTATTGCAGCCAATTCCAGGCTAAACAATTCCTTTTTCATAGAACGGAAAGGCCCTTGAGTATGGCTCTGTGCAGTTTTCTTAGCAGCACTGATCTGTTTTGCTGTTGCTGTTTCTGGGGTGTTTTCTGGACTTCCCAGTCTAGCCTGTATCTCTTCCAAGGCCATCCCCCAGCCAAGCACAACTGATTTCTAACCATGCTTAGCTTCCAAGTCCAGCCAAGGTGGATGATGGGCATTTCGCTTAGATGACCCAAGGGGATGGGACAAATTCAGGAAGAGTCAAGACCATCCATCTTTATGGAAGCCGCTTTGGGAAACAGGAGCTTTAACATCTTTGCTTGTGAACCTCCCAGAAACATCTGGTTGAATTAAATGCTATGCAGTGCTCAGAAATATGTGTTCACTCCCAGTTAAGCATGCCTCCAGCTGGAAATTAAGTGGACCTCTTCATCCAAATGCAGCAAATAGTTAATGATTGCTGGGGAAAATGTAGAAGCAATAGCTTAATCAATTCTTGTGGGGTGCTTTAATAATTCCATTGGGATCCCAACCTCTCCCTGCTTCATCACTAATGACAATCTGCAATATGGCTGACCCAAATCTTTTCTTTTTGTCCCAAAGCTTGAGTGTTAATATGGGGGTGCAGGGGGAGGGGAGAAGTGAGAGATCACAATATAAATAACAAGATGCAAAAAGAAGAGGAGATAAAAGCGTTTACTCTAGATTTTTATTAACAGTGTTTCAAGAGACGATAGAAGGAAGAAGAGGAAGGAAGTAAGACATCAGAGCATCAGATTTTCTCCCCACCCCCACCCCCCTGGCTTTTCTCTGCGGGTGCCAAAGTTTTCTTTCCTTGTTGTTAAAATCATACAAAGATAAACAACATACAGAGAATTCAAGTTCAAAAATAGCACTCAGCAGACAGACCAAGTAGGGCAAAAAGTGAGGAAGATAGGAAGTTAAGAGGTCATTTTTTTTCTGAGGAGGAGGAGGAGGAGGAGGAGGAGGAGGAAAATAAAAAAAATAAAAAAGGAACCAGTACTACAAAGACTGTCCTGAAAGCGAGTCTAAGTGACAGGAGAGGAATTAATATGCAGGAATGTATTTACAGTTTCTCAACCCACCACTGAAAACTAGAGCAGTACACCTGGTGGCTTTCAGAGGTTTCTGCGTGTCCGGTTGAAACAGGTGGCTACTTGTGTGTGTGGGTGGGGGGGAGATGTTGCATTTAAATGTTCCCCTCCATCCCTCTCCACTGGGCTAAGCTAAACTATTGTTTTTCTCCTGAGCTAGAATGTTGATTACCACAATCCCCCCGGGATTGGTATCTAAGACAGGGAGGGTCATCAAGTGATTCTGCTGAATATATAGCTCAGGGGAAAAAAACCCCCCAACAACACGCCCCCTCCCCTTTTATTTAATTCAGTGCTGTTGAAATAGGAAGTGTAGGACCCTGGACTGGAAAGGGCCTGAATTCAAGATGGTGTTCCAACTTTATAATATAAAAATGTTATCCTTTTCTAGTATAAAAATAAATACGTTTAAAATGAGGTGAGGATGCCCAGCATTACAGAAAACATCCATATGTCGCCTTCCATGTATAGGTTTGGTTCCTACAGAAAGAATGAGCATAATCCTGCATCTCTCTAATCAGATCGAATCTGATGGAGTTCCACGGGACTTACTCCCAACTAGTGTACTGGTTAAGGCATTGGACAAGGACCAGGAAGAGCCTGGTTCACATTCAGCCTCCGCCACGGAAGCACCTGGGGTTACTTTGAGGCCTGTCACACTCTCTCCGTCCAGCCTACCTCGCAAGAGTTGTTGTGGGGAAAAACTGGAAGCAGGAGTGCTGCATCTGCTGCCTTGAGCTCCTCGAGGAAAGGCAACTTTTAAATCTAATTAATAAATGCCTAAAATCAGTGAGCGTAAGGTTACACCCTTAAGCCCTGTAAGGGGAAAGGATGTTGGCTATGAATCCACCACACATCTTCGTAAGCTTTGGGGTGGTATGTTGGATTATAGCACTTCCCATTTCTCAGACAGCTTATTCATGATTTTCCCCAGGTAGGGAAATACTTTTGCCAGCTAGCATCACTATGTATGTCGGGAGCCCAGAGTACAAACCAGGAGCAAGCTAGCTTCCG